TACTTTAACCTGTGAGCCAAAAGTCTAACCTCTGATTCGTAAGTCTAACCTCTTACCCAGAAGTCTAACCTCATTTTAACCTTATGTTTGTGTAAAAAGATCGGTTCTAGAATGGTTCTAGAATGGTTTCTAGCATATTATAAATTTGTATATGATAGGAATATATTTTTTTTTTCGTCTAGAAAGCTTTTTTTAATAGATACTAAGTCTAACCTTTGATTAACAAAATCTAACCTCTAATCCAGAAGTCTAACCTCTGGTATATTTTTTTGTCCCTAATATTTTGTGAAGATTCACCTCTAGAATGGTTTCCTGTATATCAGAAAAACTAAATATATAAGAAACAATTCCTTAGCTCTTAGAACTATAACTTGGTAATAGCTAAGTCTAACCTCGAAGAGGTTAGACTTAGCATTTTGGTATCTAGAGATTAGACTTTGAGATTTTTGGTTAGACTTAGTGACCTTTTGTTTATGACCATGAATCAACTTTAGAATTAATTCTAGAATATCATAATTAATATTATATATAGAAGGTTTGCAGAGACTCCATGAGCTTGGCTTTGAATCTTCAGTTCTTGCCAATCTTGCATAGCCTCAAACTCAAACAGAATGGTATATTTTTTTTTGATATATTATTTGGAATTAAAATTGAGCTAGAAAGGCTATAAGAGATTGATTTATTCTTGGTATCCTGTAGGGTAATTTAATGCCAAATTTGATACCAAATATTGGATAGCGAGAAAAGCTTAAATTTGGGCTAAAGCTTTAAATTTAATAGAGGATTTATATAGCTAGAAGGCTTTGAAAATAAGATTAGGAGGTTTCTGAATACCTTTTTCAGATTTCTGACCCAGAACCTTTATTTTTGCTCTACTACCGTTATTCAACTAATTTAAATTCTTTCCATCTATAAACTAAATTATATAAGAAGTCTCATTGTGTTCGATATAGTTGTTCTAAATTTAAAATATGATAAGATCACCAGTAGCAGAATTCTTCATGTGATCTATTAAGAAACTATCACATTGCTTAAGTATCAAATATTAAAGATATCTTACTCTATAAAAAAAATCATGCCATCTACATATGTGATAAAAATTTGAATACTCAAAAACTGTTTCAATTCCCGATCTGTAGAATGATGGGTCTAGTTGTAATAGTTCAAGTTGTTCAAATAATTTATATATTTAGTACAGATCTTGTGTTCCATTCATATACTACTTGTAGTAAGCAAATGAAAATTTTATTTAAATTATTAAAACTTGCAAACATACAAAGATTTTAAATATATTATTTATATTTATTTACCTCTAGAAAATTCCGAATTCCATCTTTGACAATATCCAATAGGAATAATCTGACTAAAGTCTCATCTTCATAAACATCTATCACAAATGCAATAATCATCTTAAATCTACTGCATTATTAGAAATCAATATGGTTAGGAATATGAAATATTAACCATATCAATTATAAGTATGATTACTCATATGAATATTTTTTAATTCTCCTCTCAGTTTACACTTCCTTTTCTAATAAGAATAATAATAATTCGATTAATTTTAAATTACTGCAGTATTAACAATGAATACTATATCAAATTAATTTTTAATTTAATCTAACAAAAATACAAATGATATTCTAAGTTTTTTCAATAATTAATATTAAGAAAAGCGTTAAGTTAATATTAAAAGAGGATAAATAGTTTTTTAAGTAAAATAAAGAAAGCTAATGTAATATTTTTTTAGCTAGAAAATTAATTTTATTGTCAGTGTAGATCATCACATGAAGATCGGCATTTGTATTTCCCGTGTCTCCTCGCCAAGAATTGGATAAAGTTTTGAAAACTCTCGATAAAAAAACAAAAAAAAGTTATGAGATGACGTCTTCTGAAAGTAAAGACCTTTTCTTGGAAGTAATTTTATCTGAGCGAAAAAAGGGGGTACGTTACTTCATTTTTATTTTAACTTATAATTTTGCCATCAATATTAATTTTCACTTGAATCTTTATTAGTTTTTTCGACGATATTTCTTTTCCAACAAACCATACGAATATAACGAATAAGCATTTTAATGGGAGTGATAGTTCATTTTTCGTTAAATTTATTATTGCAAATTACTTTATTTTCTTAATCTTAAACACTACTCATTTATAATTTGACAATTGGGTTGATTTATAACAGTAAATTTTATTATAATTCAACGTATTTGATATGGGTTGATTGCTAGGAAAATCAGGTTCCGGGAATTTTTTAGCAAAATTGAGATTTTTATTGCATTTTAGTTTTTGATGTTATTAGATTAAAATGTATTAAGCTCTTAATTTTAGTCAAAAATTTCTCGGAACCTGATTTTCCTAGAAACACTCCCATATAACATGTAATGCTTTTTTTTTTACTGCATATTTTTATAAATGAATGAATATTGAAAACAAGTAAATTCAACTTGTATCGTGAAAGGAGCGTATAAATAAAAAATGGAATGGTGATTGTTGTCAAACATATTGATACCTAAAGCTTTTCATTAATTTTTATTGTTTTTATCCATCTTCCAATCTCAATAAAATATTTCGACTTTTTGGTTCAAGTCATTACGTGATTTTATATGTTTTTAGAAGGTTCACATTGAATAAGTAACCAATCAACCTCAGGAATGGTATTCTAGATCGACGATTTTTATTTAATAAATTTCATCTTGGTAGAAACTGCGATAGCTTTAGTTAATTTTGCAATTGTTGTCAGAATAAAACAATAAGATCAATAGAATATCCACCTTACTATATATTAGTGTAAGAGCATTTGCTGTCAAAAAGGGCAATTGAATCATGTGGCACAGTCATCACAAGAGCTTATTGTTAAAATGATTATGTATAATTACATAATTACGCAAAAAAATTTAAGCTAAATTGACGTGACGCAGCAAGATCTGCACGAATTAAATTAAATAAATTAATAATCATCCAAAAATAGTAATCGCCTGAAATGATCTATTTTTAAATCCATTTATTATTTATTAATGATCGCGAAATAAAAATGTTATTTTCACAAATTACCATTTTGTTAATCTCAACTTTCTCTATTACAAAACGCACTGTGATAATTTCGTGTGTTCTTTCGGTGGTTTTGATTTCTTAGCAATAATATACTTTTTGCCACATATATATATATATATATATGGCGTCTGATTCCACGGCTACTTTATTTTCACATTTTAATTCTATCGATTCCTCAAAAATCACACCTTTACCATCTTCCACATCCATAAACGAAGAATATACTCAGGTTACGCACGATGAAATTCTCTCATTATTACGTTTACGCAAAGAATCCTCAAATCAACAACTAGCCGAAGAATTCTTCAATAAAGGTCTTGCTTATTTGTTATCATTACACGATGAAAATCCCGTTACATGTCATTTTATCTGTAATAAAGAATTGAGCGATATCGCCACGGAAATGTTACATCTTTTTAATCTCCAAGATTCTGATAATTCTTTTGAGGAATTCAAAAAGATCTTGAAAGGAAAGTTGGTGAAATGTCTTGAGTGTGTCAAGGTTTATCACAGAAACAAGAAAGAGTTATTTGAGAGGTAAACGGATATATAACTCAATTGTTTTTGATTTGTATAATTGGTATACCTACCATTTTTCTATGATATATATATATATATATTATTTTTTTTTCTTTAGATATAAGGTGCAATATAACAATGATGAAGGTGTAGATGTTATGTTTAGTTTAATCAAATCATGGGATGAGCAACGCGTAGAAGGATCACTTTATTACTTAAAATATCAGTTACAACTCAAACAAGAAACTTATGATGATCTTGTTTTAATTGAAATATTATTTGACATATCTTTACTTCAAAATCATAAGATCAACGAAATGTTTTCCAAGATGATGTCAATACCATCGCCTAGCATTATTCAGATATTTTCAGAAGAATTTCCCCCAAGTCTATTCTTAGCTTCCGTTCACGAAAATGAGGATGTTAGGAAAGTTGCCTGGAATTGTATGCAGATTACTTGGAAAGAGTCCGAATCAAATTGGAAAAATTGCCATAAAAACGAACACTATCAATTATTCAAGGAACTTTTAAAATATTATCTTCATAATAATTGGGGAAAAGCACATTTTGAGTACCCTATCACAAAAAAAGAAATGCTTTTTTTGACTGGAATTACAAAGATCATCTGTATATTGGATTCCGAAAAACTTTATAATTTAATATATGAGAATAATGAATTCGATATTCCCAGATTTTTAGTTGAAAAACTTAAAAATAATCAAAGCGAAAGCAAGTTCATAGAGATTATAAGATTTTTACGTGCACTTTTATGTAAATTAAAGGACCGCTTTTGGTCTAATTCAACGGGACGTTCTCATCTTGACATTTTATATAGCATAATGGGTAACGATAATAATATCTTTTGTAATGTAATGGAATCTACAAAATCGGAAACGACAAAGAAAGCTACGTTCGATTTGCTTCCAACGTTTATAGATTCTTTACGAGATTATGATGAAATAGAATGTGATATTTGTATTAGTACCATTTTGGATAAATTACTTTGTTCATTTCAGAAAAGTGATAGGAACGTCGAGTTTTCTTTGATGTCTTTGAAGATGGCTTTGAAGATTGTAAAAGATTTTGATTATTCAATTCATCCTAAATTGTATAAGGAGTTTCAAAAGGCCGTTGATGATAGATTAGGAATATATCATAAAAATCTTCCAGGAACAGAACGTGAAAAGATCATTAATGAAATTTTAGAATATGTTGTTTACGACCAAAGTGATGACGAATTCAATGGATCAATATCTGGATCAATAGCAAATCCAAGAGTAATAGAATCCGTACCGATGAAGAGGCCTCTGGAAACATCATCATCTGCAACGTCATCTGATTGTTATATTGCACCTTATATCTAAAGAAATAATTCTCCTTCCACCCCCAAGAGCTCTTCCGTATTAACAGCTACTAAAGAACAAAATTCACAACCTGTGGAAAAAATTCCATTTAAGACAATGCCAAGGAAGCCTGTTTCTTGGAATCCTCCAACTAGTGGTCAAAATGTTCAAAAGGGAAAAAGCACTTTGAGTAAATTGCGCGCATCATTTATTAAGGAACAAAAGGAAAAGTTTGAAATAGAAAAGAAAGCTAAAGAGGAACGTGAAAAGTATGCAAAAATTGATGAGGATCGTCGTAAAGCTCAACATTTATCAAATATTAGTAAATCAAATACCTCCCAAGCGGTTTCATTGTCAAGATCAGCATCAAGCAATGGAAGCTCGGATAGCGCTAATTTTAGAGAGGCAAAAAGATTAAAGACGGTTAATGATGAAAGCTCAAATCATTCCAAACCAAAATTACGAAAGTTTAATCCACCGCAAAAGCAAAGACAAACAAAGATGCTTGATTTGAGTGAGGTAATTAAACATCAATCATTATATCAACAACGGGCAGTTGCTAATAAGCGTAGAAAGGATAACCTAGAAAAAAGATTGAAACCAAATCTAAATAATCTCTACAAGCAAGTATTGTCTTGGGGTTTAGGATCAAAGGGGGATCTTCCGCCAAGTACCTCAAAAGATCAATACCTTCAAATTCCAAATACATTCGAAAATGTTGAACAATACATCAAAATTTTCGAGCCATTATTGATATTGGAATGTTGGCAAAGTTTCGTGCAATCGAAAGAAGATTTAGATATGGATAATGACAAGTATGATGTATTGATGATTGAAAGCATAGCTTCCATTGATGATTTCCAAGAACTATCATGTAAAATTATCCCAGATAAAATGAAAAATATAGCGGATGGTGATTTGATAATTGTCAAACAAAACGTTTCAAAGGATCAGGATAACGGAACAACTGTGACTTCCATAATGTTCTTGGCTATCGTGAAATGTATCACGAACCATGAACGCGTAACATTATTTTGTTACTTACAAAATAATGAGGCGAATATCAGAAGCGAATTGAGGCCAGGAACAAATTTGATCGTATATCGAATTATGAGTTTGACACCTCCTAAACGGGAGTATGCTGCTTTAGTTGGGTTACCATATTTCCAGTACAAAGATATGATCTTAAATCCCAAAGGACAAATTGCTAGTCCAGTTCCTGAAAATGAATTAGTCGAATACATGACAAATTATCGTATTAATCAATCTCAAGCAGAGGCGGTTCACAAGGTTATACAACAAAAAAATGGCTTCTCGCTAATACAAGGTCCTCCGGGAACTGGCAAGACATCAACAATTTTGGGAATCATAAGCGCCCTTCGAAATTTATCGGATAAACGTCATAAAATTTTGGCATGCGCGCCCAGTAATGCGGCAGTAGATGAGTTGGAAAGGAGGCTTAGACAAGGAATTTACAATTCTGATGGTAAAATCGTTCACCTGAATGTCGTTAGATTTGGTAAATTAGATAATTCAGAAAAAGATCCTAATTCACCCGAAGGTGAACAAAAATTGAAATTGGATCGATATGAGAAAAAATTAAGGGGATTATATAAAAAACGTCATGAAACACGAAATGGATGGGATTTAAGTAAGCTAGATGCGGAAATTGACCAAATTAATGCTGAAATAGGGAAAATACATGAAACTTTGAGAAATCTGAAAGCGGAACAGCAAAACCTTAATCACTTGTCAAAGCGTGGAAATTTGAGTAATGCTGATTTGATTGAAGCTGATGTTGTCTGTGCGACATTAGCGGGGAGTGGGCACGAGACATTTGCTAACATTGGCATGCAATTTTCAACGGTTATAGTCGATGAAGCGGCCCAGGCCATAGAGTTAAACACATTAATACCTCTCAAATATAACGCGAATAGGATTATCTTGGTTGGAGATCCAAACCAGTTGCCCCCAACGGTACTATCCCAAATTGCTACAAATTATTTATATGAACAAAGCTTATTTGTTCGTTTTCAAAGATGTTTTCCGGAGGCCATTCATTTGCTAAATACGCAATATCGAATGCATCCGGAAATCAGCAGATTTCCAAGTCGCTTATTTTATAATAATACGTTATTGGATGCACCTGAACTAGGAAAAAAGAAACGCCAGGTGTGGCATAATTCGAATATCTTTGGACCGTATAGATTCTTTGATGTCGAAGGGAGAATGAATCGAGATAAGAAGAAATCGTCATATAATACTTATGAGGCTTGTATAGCCGTGAAATTATTCTTAACTTTGGTCAATAAATTCGATATGGTTGATGTAAATATTACTTTATTAAGGAAACTTTGTGATTAAATATATTGCTTAAGGACATAATTTCTTATTAATTACCATGCATTTGTAGTTCAAAGATACGGTCGGTATTATTACCCCTTACAAACGGCAATTGATTGAGCTCAGGACAAAGTTTAGGCAATTAGTTCCCGAGTCGTACTATAATAGAATAGAATTCAACACCGTGGTAAGTAGGATGCTATTCAAATAGCCTCGTTTTATAGTAAATGTTTTTAATGATCCATTGGTTTATATGTGGAATGGTAATACAGGATGGGTTTCAAGGGCGAGAGAAAGATATAATAATCTTTTCTTGTGTTCGAGTCGGCGAAGATAAGGGGATTGGATTCCTTCAAGATATTCGTCGTATGAACGTTGCTCTTACCAGAGCTAAAAGTTCCTTATTTATCCTTGGTAATAAAGCTGCATTAGAGAGTAATTCTCAATGGAATGAGTTAATTCAAGATGCAATTCAACGAGGATTATATACTGATGTAAGTGTCAAAGAGATTGAACTTGGTTTGCATTATTATTATTACTTAAATACTCTTTTATTAAATACACTTAGTTGGGAGATGCTTCCTTCTTTTTTTCGGATATAACATTTGAAAGAAACTTTAGTAAAAAAATGAAATAAGTTTGTGTTTTATCATTGTACACTAATCTCGTTAAATGGAAATTGAGTGAAGCAAATTTTTAAAAAAAAAAAAATCTTAATATAATGGTAAATAAAATGATATTATACGAATTTTAATGGTTAATTGAATTTACATAAATGATAAAAAGGAAATTGGTAAAGCTAAAAAGTAAATTAGATATATAAAAAATATTTACAGTATATACATTTGAAAATTTAATCAATTTTATATTATTTATGGCATATTATAAGAATCAGAATCTAATTTATTATTTAATAATATCGATAATAAAATTATTTTTTTTTTAACAATATTTATATAAGGCAATTTCTAATCGTCTGAACAATATAAGAAACATAAGGGGTGACAACTAATATTTTTAGTATAAAAAAATTTCCGTTCCGAGATTAATTGGTAAAAACGAAACATAGTGTGATGGTGTGATAAATAGCAAACCTAAAATTGTATACCAAACGCAACTTATATACATATATCACCGTGTTTCATGAAACCCCGTGTTTACCAAGAAATTTTCTTACATTAAAAATATTTATAAATAAATATATATTTTTATTCTTAAAGATTATTAGGATTATAATGACTTTATAAAATATTTTTTGCTAAAACTTTTAATAATTTCTATTTTTCAGTTAGTTTAGAGTACCTAATATATTTAACTACTATCGTAATAATACCGGAGTAAAATATAAATCAAAGAATTTTAACACAATTTTTTTTATTTTTCATTGAATAATATTTAGGCATTAAACATAATGACTAAATAATAGTTACTTAAAGAATTTGATAATTAGAACTACCCAAAAGCATCCAAAAAATTTCTTCGATCACGTGATATTATGCATAATCCTTAAATCCTAGCATAACCTTAAATCTAAGGATATAGGGTTAAGCTAGAATAAATGATGATTAAAAACCCAACCTATAATAAATTGTTCTATTTTTAAATATTGAGTCAAATTAATTAATGATACTAAAATTTATTATTTATAATATTTAAATTTTTCTATTATAAAATATATAAATTTTATTATCAAAATTGTTTTACAGATTAATTTTTATAATACTTGAAATCAATTTTATAACTTTTGAGATTTTGCTATTAAAATAATTCTACAAGATATTATTACACTAATTTTTTAATACTTAAAATCAATTTTGTAACACTTAAGATTTTGATATTAAAATCATCTTATAGGATATTATTATACTAATTTTTAATACTTAAAATCAATTTTGTAACATTTAGAATTTGCTATTAATAAAGTATTATTACACTAATTTTTAATATAAAAATAATTTTTTTTTTGATTTAAATACAATATTTTTAATACAAAAATTATTTAAAAAAAAATATTTTTTCTATTGATTTTTAATAAAAATTAATTGTTAAAGTTTATTTTAATTAAAATCTTTTTTTTTTAATAATTTCTAAGAATATAATATTTTTAAAAAATCTTTTTAATAATTTTTAATAAGAAAATAAATTTTTTTTTTTAATAAAATAAAGTATTTTAAATAAAAACTTTTATTTTTAATAATATTTTTAATAGAAAAATTATTTTTTGATTAAAAGAATTTTTCTATAAATTATATGATTTTAAAATTAATTTTTCATTAAATAATTTTTTAAAATTATAACAATTTAAAATCAAATTTTTTAATATTATTAAAGTAATATTTTTAAAAATACCAAATTTTTATATAATTTTTCATTACTTTTTTTAAAATTATTTTTTTTCTAATTTATAATATTTTCTAGTTCTGATTTTCAAATATCTACTAATTTAATTAAACCTATATATAATTTAATTGAATTAGGTTTAGAAGAATATAAAAAAATGAATTAGTTTTAAATATGATATACAGTCATACCTTAATATAATGAAGTTGCCGATTCAGCTAATTAGGACTTTATTATAAGAATCTTCGTTAATGTTATCCCTTCAAGTGTTTTGCAGGCAAATTTGCCTGCAATTTTATTTAATAATTAAAATTATTTATAATAATTTTAA